GAGTGTTGTTCAGCATGGGGGTGAGTAGAAAATGAAGGCTAATCATGTTTTGAGTGTACTATTCCTTTAAGGCTGACGGTTGTCAAGATTTGGCACAGCAATATAGGAGATGTTCTCTCCTACCCCTAATAGTGTTTTTACTGTTGACCCACAAACGTTGAGGGAGCTACTGTAGCAGCAAGAGGTAGGAAGTACATTTTGGACTATTTGAATTAGCCTGAGTTTACCTCCAACTCCTCAGACTGAACAAGTTGATTGGAGAAGAGATGAAACCTTTTTAGAAGAAGCACCAGTCCAGACAACTTATTAAACTTTCTTGGATTTTTCCACCTGAATTATTGAAATGCATCAAGACTTCACCTCTTTGTCTGAGTTTATCTCCATTCTAAAGGGAACATTAGATATGTTATGCAGGTTTGCACTAGTTGTGACCATTTGAAAATTATTTAATGCACCAAGTTTTACAGAAATAGCAAAGTTTTACTAAGTCAAACAGTTTCTTTACCAATAAATACAAAATACAGGTAAGTATTTTTATAATTCAAATATTTTCCTGACTCTGTTAGCAGAAAGATTCTAAAGGTATGACAAAAAAATAATCACTTGGATTGCATATTAAAACTTAGTCTTCTTATATAAATCAAATTGCAAGTATGTACTGTATGTCATTGCATTTACAGTCATAAATTATACAAGTTAGAACAGATGTCCTTCACGGACTACAAACTGTGCCAAAACTTAATCAGTGACCGAAATGAAAAAAATAAAATTGGGCATCCTGTATAGGTCGATTGTAGTCCAGCATTGCCAGGTTTGTGGCTTAGTCTCCCACTGGGACAACTCATGCTGAAAATGTGTCCACACATGGCACACTGACACATTTTCTATGAAGCACACTGCATTGAGCTCTCTTCTATTAACAGCTATCTACATGTCAGATGTGGAAGAAAAGAATACTGGAACAGAACCACATCTGACGCTGCCATAAAGTGTTTGAATGCTTAAAAGGATAGAATTTGTGAGGCCTACAGTAGCTGGCTCTGTGGTTTGGTGATGATATGTAACAATGACACATAATGATCTGTAACACCAGCCACGACTCAACGACAATCACCAGTTCCTACCAGTTACACAAACTGGACCAGTTCAACTAAAATGCAGCGACTTACAACAGATTTATGGCCTTCAGCTTTGGCAGTTGGAGGTGGTAAAATGCCAGATGATTCTTACATGACTAGCAATAAAAGACGGAAATATATGCATTGAATGCTTCCCATATGTGTCTCCCTTTAAAACAGGAGATCTGACACACATTTCATCTTTATTGATGAATGTAGACCCGCTGAGTTGCTCTCCATGTCTGCAATTTCATCAAAGTCCCTTCAATAATAAAAGCTAACTTCTGTGTGGGACATGGCTCCATTCATGAGTTATACATAAACACAGACAGTTTAAAGGGAAGCTAGTCTTTTAAACTATGCAACAAGGTCTTCTGTGCAGAAACTTTACAGTCATGAGTAAGGGATTAACCCATGGCTCCTTGTTTTTACATTACCATCCTATTTTTTCACATTCAACTTGTTCTCTTGCAATTACAATCAATTAAAGAAGGAATTTGATTAGAATTTCAGACATAGATTTATAAAACACTTAATAACTCCCCTTAAATTTCTGCAAATTGCAAGACTTTTGGGGTTAACCTTTTTAACCCATTATCATCAAGAGACTGCAGCTTCTTGCCCATTCTGCATTTCACAATAGCCTTATTTGGTTCATTGAAAATCTCCATTATTCCAAAGGGAAATAACATGTAATAGTAACTCCATTTATGAAAGTGGGGAGTGATTAGTTGGGGACAGCTGTAAAACAGAGAGAATATGCTGCATTCCCAGATCTGACTAGGTCACTTTGTTGTTGTACTCCAGCCTCCTGAGGAGGATGCTCAGGGTTGTTCATCTTGTTCTTAATTTTTTGAAGCATCCTTCGTTGCGTGATCCTCTTAAGAGGCTACAGAGTAGTTACTTGAACAGCGACACAGCTGGGATTTAGCTGGGTGAACAGCTAAAGGCTGTGTCTACCTGCTTCTTTTAATCATCGGCAGTTTCCTGAATCTTAGATCAACAGATTCATTCTAATTTTATTTAGAGAACTCAAAGGGTATAATCCTAACGGAACCCTACCTATTCTACTTCAGCCTGTGTAGATAACATACAGTTTTTTAATGTAATTCTGAGGATTTTTTATGTTATGCTCTTTTAATAAAGTACACTAGTTTCTGTATATATCTTACCTCACATATGTTCCATATATAATTATTACTGATATGTTATTTTAAGTCTAAACTGTGATAAAACCTAAAAATCAAAATCTTAAGGGGCTTTAAAAATGCTTTTTGATAGATACAGCTGAATCTCCAATTTTTGTATAACTTTTCTTATACCTCTAATAATATAACCAATTATTAAAATGTAAAAGAAGTAAACCGATGCTTTCTACAAGGATTCTCATTTAAGCCAAACTTCTTGCCTTTAGCTGGTGTTTTAGTTCCTTACTCTGCAGATGCCAATAAAGTTTGCATAAAACAACCCTTTTTCAGGCTGTTTTAGGAAACAATCCCAAGAAAAAGGCAGTGGGAAACAACATTTTTTAACAATCTCCCAGAGCTTGTGTTTACCCTGGCATCAGGAGAATACAAATCAATGTTGGAGCACTTAGTTTGCTTTCACTTTCTAAAAGACAAATCAGCAGTGTCAAATATACCGTAGAGACACACAGAAAAATATTTCACCCATTAGTGAAAGGGAAACAGTGAAATCAGCTTCACAAGCTCTTGCACAAAAGTACTGTATTAACTTAGCTTTACGGTGAGTAAAATAAATATTGAGCTTGTCAACATTTTTCTCATTAAATATATTTGTAATATTTCTATGTTCAAAAAATTCAAACAAGATGTCAGAAACAGCCCAAGTATCCACAAACAAACCAAATAAAAACAAATATGTCCACTATGGAAGTGATGTAGCTGTTTTAGAAATAAATATTGAACAAAATGAAATGCATTAAATGCTTCATAGAAAATACTTTTTTGGGTAATAACTAAGTTAAGTTGGGCCCTTGGATGAAGGAACCCTTCACATGCATTGCTTGTCTTTGACCTTGTCTAATCATCATACTGCAAACTCATCTCTATTTCTACCTGAACAATAAGTCAAGCTTGAATGATAGTTCTGCTGATTTCAGTTTCATAATGTACACAAATATGGCCGTAGAAATTTGATCTAATTTTCTCTAATTAACTATTACTTTAATGAAGATGATTGAAAATGCAGGTGCCATATTTTTTTTTAAAGTTTATATCTTGTTGGATTAAGACATGGGCCGACATTCTGCAATTCCACATGAAGCAAAAACAGCTATTCTCAGTGGTGCCCCTGGCTTGGCAGAACACCTCAACACACTAACGGCATCTGCTGCTAAGAGATCAGTGAGGATTCATCAGACTGCTGCTCAAGTGAACACCTTGGTATGTCACACTCTTCTTGGGTGGCTCTCTGCAAGCTGACAGGCTGTGTTTCAGCTGAATCAAACATCCCAAGTACAGCAAAGGAATGTGTCAAAAACTGCTCTTAAATAGAGCCAAATATATATGGCTGTCATGATTTGAAATGTTGCAAAAGGAGATGATAAAGTGGCCTGTGCTGCTGCAGACAAACACATAATCTACCAGTAAATTTATATGATGATTTAGTCAGTTTATTTCAATGTCTACCTCTTATTTGAGAAATGACAAATAAGGATACAGAGCTGCTATATAGTTCAATCTACCCTGTGACTACAGTAGGGGATTTTAAATAACCTTTTGAAATAAGCCAAAGATATTCAGGAGAGACCAGATGCAATCTGGTTCTTACTTCTTCCAGAGTTGCTAATCACACATCCACTCCATAGTGGGAGATTTTCAGTCACAGCTGGTGATGTAAAGCGAAGGATTGCAGTGGAGAGTCTGGTCAAGAGGCAGAAAATTGTGCTCTGGATTGACTTTTTTAGCTGCACCTTGTTTATTCAACATAGGTGCCTTTATTAATACTTGAGCGTTAAAGTTTCACCAAATAAAAAAGTAGGTGTAAAACAAAATATAGATCAGCAGCCATTGGTGTTAAACAGCAAGTTAATCAACATGCACACTTGTCAATAAATTATCTTCATAAACAACTGCTGCAGTCAGAAAAAAATCTTAAAAGTTTATTTTGGAGCCAACTGGATCCAAAGTAAAATTTTAACAGAGTAAAAATTAACTGAGTAAAGTAAAAATTAACTAAACCTTAAATCTTCCCAGTATTCAAGATTCTTTTTTTTTAATCTTTTGAAGTCATACATCAGTGTATGGAAACAAAGGTAAACAGAGCTAAACAAATGAAAACTATAATAAAAATCTTAGAAATGTAAAAAATTATTCTTATATATTTACACGCTTATAGCAGCTCTGGACCTCAAGAAGAAATTACAAAACCTTTTGGACAAATGGTTTGAAAGATGGGTGAAGGAAGCCATCTTTGTTAAGAGATAGTTCATGGCTCCTAGAAACATCAGCCGTCCAACTACAGGTTGCTCTGCTGCGATCTGACAGAACTGACAAATACTCCTGGATAGCTGTCAAAATGTTTTCAGAAAAACAGCAAAAGTGTAAGTTGCTGTTTTTTTAACCCTTTTTTTTGTTGTACATTTACATTACCCAACCTTTGCATTTGCTAATTTTAAATGTATATAATTAAAGGCAAGCATTCAAGGCACCCTGGTATCAAGGATCTATCCCGCCCTGCAACATTTGGTCCACTTCAAATGAACCCAAGTATGTTTCTCATTTGTCCAGACTTTTTTTTTTTCTTGCACGTACAATTAAAGACCAGCAAATTCTGGTCCAGGCCAAACATCCGGACAGAGATCAACCTTTTGAAGTGATCTTGATCTACTTCCAAACAGACTTTGAGGCTGTTGACTTCAGGTATATTTACAAACTGGGCTTGGCCTGATCCAAATGTAGAGAAACATACATCTGTTTGGATGTAGGTAGTAGTAAACGTATTATAGAAACCATACCTGCTCTGCTGTCTGTTGCTTAGCAACTCTGCTGCCAGCAAGCAGTAGATCTCCCTTAGATTGGAGGTGTCATTATATGACGTGAAAGAATTAAAAAATCTTTAAATCTAGATTAAATAAGCTCTTGAAACTCGTAACAGCATAAAGAGGCAAAACGAAAGTGCTGCATGAAGGACTGCCATTGTATTTTTCGAGTTTCTGACCTTTTGGAGCAGCAGTCGTCACACTTTGCAGTGAGTTATAGGCCACGTTTAAAATGTACAATTTAAACACAAATCGGATCAAAGGGGAAAAACAGTGATTTTATATTGACCAAACAAGCAGATCAAAGGCTTTCCTTTGAAAGTACACCGTCAGAAAAAAAAATAAAACATTAAAAATTATGGAAACAAAACTTCTGGCCTTTTTAAGAAGCAATAAGTACATTTTTTTTTTCAATTTTTAAGCTAACAAGAACTACATCTTCATGTTAAAAAATCCACCAGTTTCATTGATGATAAAATAAATGTACCAAACATTCAACCAATGTTTGCTGTAAGAGAAACAATAAACAGAGAATACTGCATTACAATGCAAGAAAAACAGGAGTGAAAGGCAAACAGCTGTGCCAAGGAGAGTTGTTACCATCTCTCCAATTTCCTTTTTGTGGTAGGCCTGTCATGGATGGTTTATATGTGACTTCACATAACATCTTTGTTGTTTCCATAAATAGTACTACTAGTATTCAGTAAAGTGTAGAGAAAAAATGTTTGCTACTGACAAGACAACATTATTCTTAGCATAGGATGAAAGTAATGTACATCATTGTACTGTCAAGCGGAAATTATGATTATGGAGTTCTGACAATAACCCTTTGCAAGATGAAACAGGCCTCGCAAACAAATGATATTCCCCATATTTCTGAGCAGTAATGTGTTACCTGGACATGGGAGGGTGCAGGCCTCTTTCAGTATGATTTTCTTGTTTCCATTTACAGCCAACTCCAGGCTGCTGCACAGCTCTTCGTCCACCATGCTGCTCTCGCCGTCACTGGAGCCGTCCGACACAAAGCAGGACAGGTTCCTGTAGCGTGTCCCGTGTCCGCACACCACACTCTGAGCAAAGACGAAAAGTGATAAAATATCCCAGCCGCTGAGAGATCCTGTTAAAGGAGTTTTTTCCTCTCCACTGTCACTACAAGCATGCTTGGTATGAGGGATTCCCTTCGAATTAATGAGTCAATATAACCAACTGGTTTTCCTTAGATTTCCTTAAGATGACCTGTGTTGTGAATTAGCGCTATATAAATAAACCGAATTGAATTGAGAGACAAGTTGCTGGTGAAGGTTCTCAGTCATCCAGGTCATATTAATTTCAAAAAAAAGAAAATGAAAAACAATCCACTGGACTTGGTTTCCAAATTTGAAGACATTTCACTTCCCATCCAGGAAGCTTTTTCAATTCAAAATGTCAGGAATAGTGTTGAGCCTTGTTTTTGTTTTGAAAACATGCAAATTGGAACAGACGAAGGGGTCTCCATCATCTTTTCATACCTATAGACAGAATGTTCCTCTCTGTAGCTTGTGTTGATTCCTAAACTTTGGAGCTGAGCTTTAAATGGTCTATTTTAAAAGATGAAATGTACTTTGAGATAAACTTTTCCACTCTTGCTCTGGCTGCATGTTTTCGTGGGTCTGATATAAGGTGAATATCTGCCCCAGTGTTTTCCTTTTTTAATGTCTGTTTAAGCTTTGATTTGGCTGTTTTTGTTTCCCTCATATGCACATAGAGAAATAAATAGTTAGATAATCACCTTACTGTAGTATAAAACACAATTCTGCTAGATTCATTCATTCAATCAGTGTTTGTTGACCCGGGGAAATCTAAATGAAGGGGGGAAGCTTCCCTTGAGCCCGTGTCTCGCAACTTTTATCTAAACATCTAAATCAAATGCAGAATAAACTGTTGTTCATCAGGTTTAGCAGAGGCTTAGAAATGACCCTTTTTCCTATCAGTTTTGATGAAATTGGGAAACCCTAAGGACAGTAGTATGAGATCAGAACTGCAGTGAAAACATTAAAACTCACATATTAAGACTCAACGTAGAAAAATGTTTGGTCGAGTTAAATGGAAGTATTTGTTTGCATCTCTACAGAAATTCCGCTTCATCCATCTCTGCTTATAAAACAGTGAAATAAATTTTTATTCTTCTGACCTAAAGGTAAACAAATCAAAATGAAGAGTTCAGGCTGCCAATGTTCTTGGCAAAGTTGTAGGTTTTCAGTAACGTTTTAGCATTAAAAATGCATTAGATTGATTTCTGCCATCCATCTAGCAGAATAACAGTACGAGCAGGAATATGATGAGGTCGTTCATCAATACTAAAGACTATTATTTTTTAGAGGAATCATCCTTTTGGCTCCAGCCCTCCCACTTATTGATCCAACACAACAGTCAGAGTTGCATTCCTTTTTTCTACTGCCAGAGGTCGATGCACTTACTAAAATTTAATGTCTGTGGATTGTTGTACATTGCAATGATTTATCGACGTACCTCAACCCGACACTCAGACCAGGGGCTGTACTCCCATCTGTAGCAGGGCCTGACGGGGCAGGGCTTCCACTGCTCCATTTGGGAAGGACACGGCCGGCCGTCACCTTGCGACGCCTGAACCACCAAGCGCTGCCTCCGCATCTTACCTTGGGAGAACAAAAAGCACATTTTCTTTGTGTTTGAGCTTTTATAAAGACCTTTGGCGTCTTTTAAAGCTAATATATTTTTGCATCTTTGGTTTTACTCACAGAGATGTAAATTATGTATGACTAAACCACTCTCTTGTTTTTTAAGCCCAATGAATTGAATGCAAGCTGTTTCAACACATGTGGAAGTCTTTGTGGTTTGCTGCACAGCAGTCATTCTTTCCCATGTAAACGACTTATTTTAAGTGTTTGTTTGTTTTCAATGTATTAAATTAGTCTCACCATGAACAACAGCACTTCACTTAGAGCAGGGTTCCTCTAAAGGGCTTGAAATGCTGTTCTTATGCTCTGAAACCTTTATTGGTTCTCGGTCAACCTGAGTGAAATGGCTTTTATTCCACATCAATCAGCAAATCTTGTCTGGTTTAATTTGATGCATCAGACAGACTCTGAGCCTGTTTGATCTGAGTGCAGAGGGGATGTGGTGAATTAGCTGTAAGACAACAAAAAACTCTTCTGTGGCATTTCTGAATTCAAGCCAGCTGTGCCGTCTGTCTTCTTTAAACCACCCACTCTCAAAGTTTCACAACCCTCCTCTTTTTCGATATTCCACTTTTATTTCCACACAACAATCCACTCACCCTGAAATGTAGCGCTGCCATTATGCACCACCTTTCAACACAGCATATCCTCTGTACACACACTGTCAAAACGTATATCCGATTTTATCAAGAGAACCTCCCACACAGCCAAACAGAAACATCTCAAATCTGCACCCCTTCCTGCTCTTGCTGCTTTCACCTTAGGAACCTTTCACATATCTCCATGTGGCTTCTAGAGCTCCAAGGAACAAATAAAACACAAAACAAGATGCAAACCAATGTGAGAAAAGCTTGAATCAAAACAAGCAAGGAAATAGGAGGACAAATGCCTTCTGGTCATTATTACAGAACTGCTTTCTCCTCATCCTACAAACCTCATCCTCTTCTTTTTTATTTTTATTTTTGCTTATGAGTTTTTCATGACAAATTAGCCCACTATAAGCAGGGGATGTTTAATGCGGGTCTGTTCATGTCATTAAAAAAGTTTTAAGCTGGACACTAAAAACATAACCAGGACTTATTTGGAAGGAACAGCTTCATTTACGCAGCCTGACTGTGTGGAAGAGAGCAACACAAAAATCCAGTTAATAAATGTACCTTCTAGTCCACAGGTTTGTGAACACTCTGACCATGCCGACCACTCTGACAGCTGGCAGTTAACCGGACACTCAACTGTGCAGGAGACGTTCATCTGCCAGTTCTTCTCCAAATTTAGCTGGAACAGAAGTTATAAATGCATAGAATTAAAAATTTTAAACGATGCACACCACAGCTATAGACTACCTATTGCATTAAAATGTTGGAGCTCTAGGCTAAAAGATGCAAAAAGCTGTTCTTACACCAAGCATAGAATAAAAATGAAAGGTGTGGTGAAAATCTGTTTGCTAAATGTTAAAGCTGAGAATCACTTTTAAATATAGATAGTTCTTAGTTTAATTTTTATTTATTTATCCTTTATTTAACCAGGTTAAACCCACAACAACCTCAGAATGATAAACTAAATATTTCATGATGATGTATTCAGTATTCAGCCAGTATCAGAACAGAGGAGCGTAGTCATAAATGGTGATATATCAAAATAACTTCCTGTCTCACCTCCTCGCAGTATTTAATATCGACAGATTTTCCGTCACTGCGAACGCAGTCAAGCATTCGGGTCTTGATCCCGCTTCCACAAACAGCATTGGGACTCAGCTGACAAGTGCTCCAGTCTGAAAAATAAGAAATATCTGACGTCAGATAAGCTACAACTGATAACGGGACTGAAATACTGGCATAAGAGTTACATTAATGGGAAAAATCCCATTAATTATACTTTCAATAATGACAGCATATGACAGCTTTCAAACATTTCTTTTAAAGAATAACTTTACACACTCTCATAAAAGGATATGAGACCAGTATCAATGTTCTAAGGCAGAGGTTAGGGGTACATATTTTTATCTTAATATACATTCTATTAACACCCCAAGACATTTTTTTCTATTTGATTAATTAAATCTTATCTTTAGATAACCAATCCTGTGTTAAGAAAAAAACAAAAACATTACATTAATGTTTTTTATTGTTCATACAGAGCAGGATTTAACAGGGAAAATACTTTTTATATAGTTTCTCTGCTTTAATTCTCGTCCTCAAACTTATCTTATTTTCAGTTGGACTGCTGATGATGCTCTTTTGGCAGCACTCCACACAAGGAGAAAAACATGTTTTTCTTTCGGTGCATTTCTCTTTAGTCCCTCCCACACATCTCATTTTTCGTGCCAGAACAGACTTGGATGACAGTAGAAGTATTCTCAAAAATAAAATGCCGTGTTTTAACCAAGAACAGAGATGCCACAGTAACCCATTTTCCAGCTGTGTCTTCAGCCAAGCTATAGTTGTCTTGCCATGAATATATATCAATATTATTTGCCTAAATACGTTCATAGTGTGTTTATGTGAAAAAAACAAAACAGTGTAGTTAAATCAAGCTTTGTTAACCTACTTACTTTTGCTAAAAGAAACTGGGAAAACTGACTTTTCTGGAGTCAAGAAACTACAATCATATCGTAAATTAATAGAAAAATTTTTTGTTTTTGCCTAAAGCAAATGAATAATTTTGACCAGGCAATGCATTCAAGCTGGTTCCTAAATCGTTATTTAAATTTTCAGCAAAGAACCAGAGTATTTTTTTTAGTAGTAAAGAGCCAATTTAGCACACATGAAGATATATGTGGCAATTTGTACAGTTAAGACAACAAAGTAAGAATAAATATCTGAGGGCAGTAGCTTGGAGACCAAACAAACCTCTCTTCAGAGGCATTAAAAGTACTTTACATAACTAGCTCAGTCAGCTGGGCATTCAGCAAAGTTGCTGAAAGCCTTAAATAAAAGTGAGTAATTTAAATAATAAAGAAAATGTAGCAAGACTCAGATTAGAATTTCTAATTTTTTTAACCAGCATTGCTGTTTGATGCTCAACAGCAGCACTTTCATTTCTCCAAACAATTTGGAGTTAACTTAGTAGTTTTTTTCTTTTCTTTATCTTCATATTTTACTTGTAGTTTGACTTCATAACTATGACTCACTCTAAAGCTTGCCGCTAAACAACATTATTTGGTCCTAACATTTCACTATAAACTATTGTTGCCTATGCGATTAGATGGATTGGAATTTTAATTACTTCAATAGTGTTTGCATTCAAATGTTCTTTTATTCATTTTGTTCAGTTAAAAAGGAAAGAAGAAAAAAGTAATGCCCCAGGAGGATCATTGCATGAGAGTGGGTATTTGTTTAACATGATCTGTGCAAGCTTTACATGTAATAATAAATAAAAAAAAAGGGTAAAAAACAAAACATAGAATCAAAGGGCATCTTCTTGTTTGTCAAATCTTAAGCTCATAAAGAAAATATAAAAATGCGTATTTTATTACTGTTCAATTACACTACAGCATTTTGCCAAAATGCATTTGGGGGTTCTCAGTCATCCACATCACAGCAAATCCAAACCTCTAGAATAAAAGTGTAACATCTTCAACTACTAAAATTGAAGTCTGTGTATTTTTTAAAACTTTTTATGGTTGTACTTCCAAATGTGTTTTTTCACTTTTCCCTGTTCATGACTTTTGACAGACTCCCTTTCTTAATCTATGGGGTCCAATTTGTTGACGGACCCCCATTCCAACAAAGTCCTTTAAACTATCCTATCAGCATCTGACCAGAGGCCCCCCAGCTGAGAGCTTTGGTGATCTGACCCCATACTTATTAATATGTAGAGTATTAACTATCTGTCTTCCTTAAATGGAAGATTCTTATTTTTTTTTTCACCCCTGGGGCAAAAGAGGTTTCCAACTTAGAGACTAGTGTGGGTGAGAAGAAATCTGTCCCCCGTATCTCTATTTTGCCAAGGAGTCATCCATGATTGCTGCATGGAATATTTTTCCAGCAAACCTGCTCACTTAATCCTGTTTAAGTGTTGCTAAATAAGTATGAAACATCATTCGGTATTTTCTTGGGAAAAATATTTTTTATATTTTGCTGCTCTAGATGTTAGGTAAACATCCACATCTAAAAGCTTTTGTTAATCCTCTGCTTTAAAAAAGCATGGATTTAATTATGCCATGTGTGATTATGTGTGATTCTTATGTTCAAAATAGTTTTTCCTTTTGGTTTCAGTAAATATATACTATTTATACTTTTGTTAATTTGTATTTATTTAGAAATAGAGTGGGAAAACTTGTAGTTGTCCCTGCCAATTGTCCTTTTTAGCATTCATGTCCCACGCTTTGAATGTACCTTCTAGAATTGTCACACAGAAGCTTTAAAAGAAAATAGATTTAGTTAGAAGAGAAAACATGCATTAGCATTCAGCAGGTTGCCACTGTTGATTTTACTGCTCAACATGCATAGTGAGATGAAAAGGAGGTGACTGGGAGTCATGAGATACATATAGTTATTATGTTCCCAATTCTATTCTTTTGTAAAACTGCACAATGGAAATGTGATGAAACACTCAAGCTTTGAGTAAGGTCTAACCTTTCAGGTTTGGTGCAGAAAATGTTTTATTCAAAACATTTTTCAGCATTTATTCAAATGGTTTGATGAAAAATATCCCTATTAACATTCAGCAGTTGGTGCAATTACCCAAATGAACTGGCAGCTGAATTATGTTTAACTGATAAAGAACTAAAGGAAATGTATAAGTTAACAACAGTGTGGAATCACAGACTGTTGGCATTTAACGATGATGCAACTTCTGACAGAGGCTGCAGGGTTTTGTTTTTCACTGACATTTAGAGTGCTATACTTTCGCCTCAGACTCAGTCAAATCCTGCAAAAGTGACAAGACAGCTCATTCCAGGACAGAAGGATAATAACTCAAAGCACTCAGCAAATCCAACTTCAGAGTTAAAGAGGATCCGTCAGCCGCCATTACTACAACTTACAGTAGGCCTGATTAGTATGATAACTCTAAGAGATCTGAAAACCATCCAAGGACACACCTTTATACTGTGTTTATATCAGCTTGGTCAAATAGCTCTTAAAAAGAAAAAAAAAAAAAAAGTGTTTAGAGGACACACCAGAACACTTTAAACCAGTTCAGTTTATTTGGTGACATGGGGAATCTAAAAACATGCAATTTAGCTAGTGCTTGGACCAGTTTAATAGAGCATTTCAAGAAGTTCAACCAAGGATTGTTTTTAGATCAATTTACATTTGTAGCAAAAGGTATAAAGTCATGGGAAAGAAAACACTAAAAACACTTAAAGAGCTTCAAGCAGCCTTGTTTCATCAGTTTTTTCCTTGAGAGAAAAATACACAGCTAGTTAGTTGCTAATTGAAACCATCTAAAGAGCTGATCCGTCTGTAAAGGCAGGAATTGTGTCTGTCTGCTGCTAAAAGAAAAGTTATCATGCAGTGCTCACAGAAATTATAAATAAAAAAAATAGGCCCATCTTTGATTGTCTGGTATTCTGCTTCTTTTGGATGTGTCCTTTGTCTGACACGCCTGAATCAGGCAATAGATAATTAAGAGGACTCTGAAGAAATTGGGTGTGTACAATTTCAGCGGCTGCATCCTCTAAAGGACCAACCTGGACTGAGTCCTTCGAAGGCCATGAAAATAAAGAGGTCAGAAGAGTTTGGCTATAGATTCAATCTGGTCCAGCTTTCTCAGGGTGTCACCGTCCCTCCCTAAGCGTAAGCTCTCTCTCACCTAGCAACTGTGACAGTTGACTCAAAAAGCGGACAAAGAATGAATACCGAACTTCTCACTACTGATCTGTGTGCTAATTACATTTTTGAAGAGTTTCAGCAGCAGTACTGTCGTTTGTAGTTCATACACTGCATAGATACTGGAATCTGACCTCAGATGTCAGCCAAACCCATTTGCACAAGGACAGTTAAAACTTTCCAATAAACAAAACATTTCCTGCTGACTCTGTATTTAAATTTATTTTTGTCACTAATTCAAGACGAAATTATTCATATGCTTCTATTATATCATGATGCACTATAATATAATATTCACAACTGCTCATTGCCATTTCCCTTTTTCCTCTTAGCGTGGAGCAGACGGCTTGCTTGGACTTAGACTGAATCATGGGATACCCAAGGCTATAAAAGATACAACGGACCTGTTCTTCATACCGGGCGAACAGTAGGCTTTACATGTCAACCGCATATGAAGGAGTCTTTTAATCCATTTTACCAAGCCACTGCACTGTGATGTACAGTAATTGCCTTGATGACGAATCTGGCCTTAAGAAGATGCAGCTGCCGGAATCAAACACAGACACTGAGTGCTAAGGAGATAACTCAGCCATTTGTTTCAGGTGTGTTGGACCATCCAAAAGTAGCAGGATGTTGGACACTCAGAAACTGAAACTGTCCACCCCTGCCATAATTTTTCACTATGTTAATGTCCATCACAGAACTACTAGTAAGACATGACACAAGAAGGAAAAAAATACTAAAGAAATTACTAAAATCAAACCCTATTAAAGTGTTTGAACTTCCCAGTGACAAATACACAACCAACAAGAGACCCTAAACTTGATTTTAAAATAGGTGAGATTTATATTTGTAAAAACACTGCATTTACACTGTTTTTTTTGTTTTTTTTTTAGCTCTGTCACTTATTCTGTTATTTTTATACAGTTTTTAAGGTTTTGCTGTAATCTTTTGCTGTTGTAACACCACAGTTTACCAACTGTGGGACAATAAAAGC